CTAGCCTGATGCCTTAACTATTATGCCAAATTGGCTCTTCTTTGGTCATTCTTCTTTGGTAGAGTAGATTATATCTTAAACTAGAAATGTATCCTGAACTGCATGGTTTTCTTGAAGTTCGTGCATATTAGAGAATAATTGTTCTAAAATTGCTAAAAATGCCAACATTGCTAAAGAAAGTTCAAAAACATTCTATCTGGGGAATTTATATCTTAGCCTTCCACAAATTCTAGACAGGCTAGAATACTAAGTAATTCAATGGACACACAGAAACCTAATCGAAGCAACAGTGTCTTACCTCTGTAGTCTGATAATTTTATATCCTTGATGGTGCCATCTACCACTGCTGTAGCGTGAAAATCTGGAACTGGTTTCCCAATATGTGCTTTACCAGAGGCCATTTCCTGAAATATCAAAACAATACACACTTTAAGTTGGCAACTGGGCCACATCTCAGGAATGAAGGGATTTGATTCAGAATAAGTATTCTCTCAGTTTTTGATTATTTAAAATAGGCAGCACTATTTTGACTTGTAACCCATTTTCTTGCCACAGCTTTTAAAGTTCCTATCCAATTAGAGCCTGTAAAGTCAGAGAAAGAACAGAATCTACCAATCCAGCATAATGCCATACAAAGCCCTAGTCACAGGGACTGGTTGAACAGTATGGTATTAATAATGCTTTGAAATCCATGGCAATCCCTGAGGCATGCAAGATGAGGTCACTAGGTGCCCTTATTCCTCTGAGGAACAATACACTGCATTTCTTGTTTCAAGTGGGCTCCTCCATCTTGCAAATTAGAGAAAGAAAAAGTTTTAACACAAAGCAAGGGCTTCCAAGCCATTTATTACCTAGATTTCCCACCTGATTCTTCAAAACATCTCACCTACCACAAGACAAGCAGCTTCTCCAATTCATCCACTATTGAAATGGAAAGAAACTGTCACTTTTTGAACATAGCTTCCTTACTTGTCCTTCCAACTAAGCTTTCCAATAAAATGATTTACCACTAATTTTCAAAGTAGAATTTTTCCAAAGCATTAAATTCATGAGACTCATGATCAAAGTTCAGTTTATGTCCCAATATGGTCCAAAGATTTCTCACCACTCATACTACTGGAAATAAAATACCTTTTCTGCTATATGTTGTTCCAACCACTTGCCATGATCACAAAGAAAATAGTAATAGCCTTCGAAAATAGCCCATAAAGGATAATATTCCATTATATTTTCATTCCACCAGAAGGTGGCTGATAAAATTTTTGGCCAGTGGTACTTTTGCAGATCAGATAAATTAAAACCACTTTCCTCAAATGGTAATCTCAATTTAGCTAAGGAAAACCTTGGTGGTCCACTTTCCCAAATACATTTCCTAAATAAGTTATCAATATAAATATTTATTCAATGTTAACATAGGAATACCTTTAAGAAGATAAATCAAATGAGGGACAATGTTCATTTTAATAACATTATCTTTGCCCCACAGGCCTAAACCAATTTTAGGCCATCTATTAACATTCATTTCAACCCTTTTTAAAATTTTGACATATTTCCACATATTTAGAAATATCTTTATATTAAATATTTGGGGCTATATATACCTAATCAGTAGAAATCACAAATTTTTTAAAATTTTGACATATTTCCACATATTTAGAAATATCTTTATATTAAATATTTGGGGCTATATATACCTAATCAGTAGAAATCACAAATCACATCTCTTTACAGAACTATATTGATATATTAGGACTCAGGGGAAACAAACTAGATTATCCCAATTTATCTTATAACCAAAATACTTTCCAAAATACTCTACAACCTTTATAAAATTAGGCGAAGTAGAATATTGATCCAAAATTGCTAAAATATCAGCATACAGAATTTATACTCATACTCTACCAATGTAATGCCCTTAATATCTAAAAAAATGCCTTAGCATGGTGGCCAAAGGTTCAAGAATCAAATTAAATAGCAAGGGAGAAAGTGGGCAGCCCTACTGTGTACCACATTGTAAGGGAAAAGAGTTTGAGATCATACAGTAACTCTGGCACAAAGTTACAAATATTAATCTCAATCCATTGGACAAAATGGCAAAAGGCCTGTGGAAAGGCATATCTAGTCATCACTTACTTTAAGAATTTAATTTGAACCAAATCAAAGGCTTTTCCTGCGTCACAGTTCTCTGAGAGCTCTCCAGACTTTGGAGGAGGATATTTGGGGTCTGTGCATGGCACAACCTAGGTAGATCTCCTCAGAAGATCAACCTAAACTGCTTCTAGGAAACCAACATGCTAAAATACAGACAAAGCTGAGTAATTAGTACTATCTGGCTAACCAGAGACAAATGCAGTCTACTTTTTACAGTCTCCCCAAGAGGTAGTATTTAAAAAACAGCAAGAACAATAGACCAAGCAAAGTCAGAATGGATTTAAACTTCAAGGATGGGAAATCCTACAGTCTGGGTCAGCTCAAGATGCATGCAGAGACAATGACCAAATCAAAGCCAAACATATGTATCTCCTCCTTTTCAGCCCTCACAGCAGCTTACAATTTTTTCCCCCCAGAAGATACATACATCTCCCTCCCTATAATTTAGTTGCGTATGTGTAGGGGGAATAGTATGGTATAAAGGAGATGACCGGTATTTTCATTTTACTATTCAATTTTCATGTTGCTCCCAAAACTCTTGGATCTTTTTTGGGATGGAGAGTAGTTCCCAAATTTTTGGGGGTGGGGAGTAGTTAACAAATTGTCCCAAATTTCAGTGGCAAATCATGGAACTGCAGCACAATTTCATATTTTTCTTGGCAGAAAAAATATATAAAACCCTTATTTTAGGCTTGAGGCATGATTGTCCATATATAAACTTACAATTCCTCTGCCTTAGATATCACCATTTCACAATCTGGCTGCCTTTTCAAACTACTGCAGTTCTAAATGGTGACATCTACAAGGGTCCGATGGGACACAAATAAGTGCCGTTGATTGATACAAGATTGTTCATGAGCATTTAAGTGTACAGCTGATCCCAGCACTGCCGGACGTCACACTCTGCTAGAACAAGGGCCCAAACCAACTGACTTAGCTCAAAAGGGGTAGTAACTTTTAATGTATTGCTTAGTTTTGATCAATAGGTTATTTAAGATAATTGCCATCTTTTGAAATATGCTCTGGGAAGTATAGAGAAGTTATGTCCAAACCCAGGGAATGATTACATGTAGTCAATACTGATGATACATTGCAGTGTTTTCCAACCTTGGCCATTTCCAGACCTGCAGTTGTTCATTAGTAGGAACTGTTACATTCTGTTATTTCTTCTGATAGAGTTCCAGCAGCCAATACCTTCCAGGTCTATATTACAGTTGTACCCCAAGATTTGATTGTTAGCAGCCAAGCCCTACTTATTAGATAGAGATCATAACGTGAGCAGGTGGCATAGAGAAGATGCTCTAATATCCCTAATTATGAGAGGGTCTCCCCCTGCATATTTGGCAGGTGTTCTGATAATACTTTATCAGAATTCCCCAGACTCTGGCACTACAGAACTAGAACCCAGCCTTGCACAATTCTCTTGTAGTTTAGAAAAGTGAAATGTGCACTAATAGGGATAATGCAGAACACCTGCTTGCATAATCTTCGCATTTATTGGTGCAAAAAAACCATGGCTGGCTGGGGACTTCTGGGAGTTGAAGTCCACACATCTTAAGGTCGCCAAGGTGGAGTAACACTGCTCAAGACAAAACCATAAGCATCCTGCTGCACAGCCATCACTATACCTTTGGTTCTAATAGAGGTGAATATGTGTAGCTCAGGGTTGAACTGTGGAGTCCTTGGGGTTCTCTGAGGTTGGTAATGAAATGTTTGCAACAAAAGAGCCAAGCTCAGGGAACCCCAAGGACTCCACACCTTTGGTTCTCTTGCATCAATATTCCCTTAAACTTACTAAAAGCAAATGTTTTCAGAAAATCTTATTTGATCAGGTATGAAGATTTAAACTGAAAATTGAGACACAAAGATACCTTATGCCACTCTCTACTCTTTTTTAAAATATGCATGCCTCTATTTTTTAAAGCAGCTTTTCAGAGGAACTGGGATACCACTTTTATAATCCCCAGCCAGCATGGTTACTTTCGAGAAATTGGGTAGTTTCTACCCTCCCAAAGCAATGGGAGGCAGTTTTAAAGCACAGGTTCCATGACTTTTTAGCTGCATTTATGCTTGTGTTTTTCAGGGGCTAGAAACCCCGTTTGAAGAACCATGGTTACCTATTCTGCCTTGCGTCAGAAATTAGGCCAGCCTAGAAAGCTTCCCCGTTTTCCCAGGGATTGGGACGGGGAAAAAGCCAGGAGAAGAAACAGCAGCCCGGGGAGGTAAAGAAAAACGAGGGAATCTAATTTCTATTTTTTTTTTTTTTAAAGGAAGCGGGCAGGTTTTTCTTTCTTTCTCCATCACCGCTCGGAACACAAAGAGAGCCCTACTTCTCGCCTGCAGACCGCAATTTTATTCGAAGAAAGCCCGCCTAGCGGGCAGCTTTTTGGAAAATGGAGACTATGTGCCGCAGAGCACTTAATCCAATATCAGCGTCCCCCCTCCTCTCCCGGTTGCACGCCCCTAAGAGGAAGGACCCTCCGGAATCATCGTCCACAAGGCTGAAGATGGGGGCAACGCGCTTCAGGCCCACCGGCCCCGAAACCTTTCCAAGCCCAAATGCCACGGCTGGAGCATCAAAATCGCCCTCCGTGGCTTTCATAAGCCTCATAAAGCATCAAACCCCCCCGCCTGCTCCAACCTACCTCGGTCTTCGCGAACAGCACGAGGAAAAAGCGACCGCTTTCCAACGCAGGAGGTGTGGCACCCGCAGAAGAAGCCGCCCCTGCTGCGGGGTTTTATACGCTGCATGCCAAAAGGAGGGCGGGGCAGGCTGCGCAAAGGCGGGGCGTGGTCAGAACTCTGCCTCTCCCAGGTAGCGGCGCACGTGGTCTGTCCCTCGAGCGTCTCCGAAAGGAGGGCTTTGGCCCGAGAACAAAGGTGGTCGGCGCGTGATTCTACATGCAGTGCTGGAAACTCCATCATTCTCCGTTCGGCCATCTGCTGATAGACTTGTGGGTTACTTGTGAGGACAGTCCAAACTGCTGGCTCGATCTTCGTTATGTTAACGAAAGCAACTCTCGAAACAAAAACAGCAATCTCCCCCCGAGTTTGTGCTTATAGTTGTTATGTACGTTTTCCGCTCGCTGTCCCTATACGAAAACCAAGATTGCCTACTTGGCCTTCCAATGGTGTCCCTGTGCCTGCCAGGCGGCCACCCAACAGGGAAATCTCTTCAATACTGAACGCCATGGGAAATCTGTACTTGGTATAATTGGTTCCTGAAAAAGACATCGGGCAATTTTGCAGAATGAAGGGATAGCCTTACACGGAGGTCATAATGCTTTAGGAAATCCACTACGGGACACGAATAAAGGCAGTTCTTTCACTGTCTCCCGCAGATGCTCCATGTTAAGATACTAGTTCTTTCTGCTGTGGCAGTACATTCAAGAGCTGTTGGGGGCGCGGAGAGCATGTCTCAGTGCTACAGTGCGTTCCCTGACCCGATTCCAGGTTTGATTCCACTTGAATTTCCAGCTAAAGTGTTCTCAGAAAACGGGCTAAAGACTCCAAAAGTCAAAGCCGCCACCAAACGGAACAGACAACTGGGACGAAATAAGTTAAACAACTTCAGTTTCATACTTTCATCAAGGACATAACCTCTGGAGGCAGAACTGTATTAAAGTACTTCGAAGGTTTATTCAAAGCGCATACAAACTGGAATTCTTAATGAATGTCTTGCCTTCCTCTATTCTTACTCTTTACACTGGGGATCGCGCAGCGTTTTGACCAACGCTGGAACCGAGTAGCGACTCATCTCATAAACTACGCTTCCCAGAAGGCCATGCACTCTGCCCCTCCCTTTCCTCTGTCCTCCGCCGGGTGTTTTTCGGGGGCGCGCGCGAAGATGGATCTCAGCGAATTCGAACGGGATAACTCGGCGAATTGTTTGCTGGCCTCGGCGGTGCCTCCTGTCTGCCGGACTGAGCCCTGTAGTTTGGGCATCGATGAGGCAGGCAGGGGACCAGTATTGGGTATGGGTTCAAATATATGAGGGAAAACTAGAATCTTTGGGGTACTGCGTACTGTACTAAATATGGCCCGAAAGCATCGAGCGGGGTGAATCTTGTAACTCAGTGGATTTTATGGATTTCTCAGGTAGTCTAGAGTATATCACTGCCTGTGGATGTGAAGATAAATGACATATCGCAGGTACTTCTTGTAGAAATAGTAGTTAATGCAGTCTTGTTTTGCAGCCCTTCTTCTCATTTTGTGCCAAAATGCTTCACTTCATGAAATCCACAAATGTCCTCATGCGACTTTTTATTATGTGCACATTTCTCATCTCTGAGAGCTTGAAGGAATATAATAAAGTTTATTGTAAGAGAATGTTATGGAGGGTTGCCTATTGTAGAAATAGTGTTGTCTTGCAGCTTAAGTACTGTCATAGCATTTTTTCAAGCCACTTCATTTGTACTGCCTAGCTATCTTACAAGGACATCAGCCAATATTAAACTTATTTTAGGTGGATCATAGTAGCTGAGACTAAGCAGCTCTTTAGGTTTTCGCTTTCTTTCCAGGCCCCATGGTGTATGGAATTTGTTTCTGTCCTGTGTCTCGGCAGGGAGACCTAGAGACACTGAAAGTAGCAGGTAAGAAGAATGTCAGATTGAGATTGTACTTCAGTGGGCAGTGCAGCTGTGTCACAGGACATGTGACCTGTACAAAAAGGAGAAAGAAATGACGCTACTTTTATTGGGGGAGTAAGATAGGGGAATAATTTTTGTCTTATGCCGCATCGCTTGGAAATTACCTTTTTCCTCTTGCTTATAGATTCTAAAACTCTGACAGAAGCTCAGCGGGAAGAACTCTTTGAGAAACTAGATGCGGCTAAGGATGTTATAGGCTGGGCCCTACACATCCTCTCCCCTAACTTCATCTCAACTAGTATGCAGAGGCGGTGAGTGCGACAGAGACGAGGCAGTCTCTTTATTAGATGGATTAAATCTTAGCTTTGAAAAGATGCCACACATTTCTCTAAGATCATTCCCTTGCCTGTCCTACATCTCACTGGAACTGGAATACAAGTTTCATATGGATCTAATTCCAATGTGGTGTCACTATAAATACATAACTGGAGAGTTGGTTTAATTGTTATTAACCATCCCGAGTGGTGTATAAGCTTTAGAAGAGTGGAATATAATGTTTATATAAATGACAAAAAAACCCTCAAAATTTCCAAAGCAAAACAAACACATTATATATCCATATTTTGTATTGTCACCAAAAATTACAAAAAAAGTTGTGTTTCATTGATGGGCTGTCCTATTTCTAATTATTTTTATTTGCCCAGAATGGGAGTCATTAATTTGTATTTGTTGCATGAACATTGGAGCTGCTGCTGCTGCTGACAATGGGTGAATGGAGCAGTGGCTTTTTGCTCTCTGTTTATATTTCTTTGTATATGTATATACCACTTTTCCTAAAACAAGCTCAAGGCAGTATATATGGGGTCACACCTCATTTTATCCTTACAGCAACAACTCCACTGAGGTAGATAGGACTGAGTAAAAATGACAGTCCTCAAGTCACCCTGGGAGCCATATTGGCAAGTGGGGATTAGAACCTGGATCCCTCTTGTCCTACTTGGACACCTTAATGAAAAATCACATTGTTCAGATAATCTTGCCTCTCAGTTTCCAGCCACCCCTTTTCTGATGGTTAAGCTTCAAAGCCAATTTTGTGCTCATCAGTCAATGTGATTTCCTTTTCCTTGCAGGACAAAGTACAACTTGAATGCACTATCACACGATACAGCCATTGGCCTAATCCAGCACGCACTAGATTCTGGAGTGCACGTTGCAGAGGTGAACTAGCTTAGTGCCCTAGCCTGTCAGGAAGTAGCAAGAAATCCCCCCTCTTAAATCCTTCATGGGTCCTTTTTCTTTCAGGTTTTTGTAGACACAGTGGGACCAGCAGAGAAATACCAAGAAAAGCTAAAGCAGCAGTTTCCTGAGCTGGAGGTTACAGTGAAGGCCAAGGCAGACTCTCTCTTCCCTGCTGTAAGCGCAGCCAGCATCTGTGCCAAGGTGAATGCAAGGCATAGGACTCCTTTGTCTCCAACTCCCTGTCTGCTATGGTATCTGGAGAGATGCGCAAGTTGGTCCATCAGCTCAATGGAGCTTCCATTTATAAATCTACAATGCCACTGATTACAAGATGCAGTGAATAAGGGGGTGGGGTTACCTGTAACCCTCAGGCTTTTCATCACTTAGGCAATAATTTGTCCATTATTAAAGAAAGAATGCTAGATTATATGGACTTTTCATCTGCTCCCTATGTTCTTATCTCTTACAATCTCTAGGTAGCAAGGGACCGGATTGTAAAGAATTGGAAATTCTTGGAAAACCTAGAAGATATGGAATTGGATTATGGCTCTGGCTATCCCAATGGTAAATTCTAGTTTATTCTTTCACTTCCATCTCTGTATGTTTGGAGCTGTGTAAAGTAATAGTGGTGCTTAGGTCAGATGGCTTTAAAAGAAGATTAGACAAGCAGAAAATGATTGCAATTCATTCTCAGGGTGACAGCTGGCTAGGCATGCTATTTTTCAGTATACTCCATTCTATAATGCCCTTTTAGCTATCTAAGGCTTTGCACTTGAATATGAGGGAGGTATGAGTATCAGTTGTAGGGAGCCATTATGCAGTTGTTTTCATGCCCTGACCTAACAGAGCTTTCTTTATGTTCCTATGAAGAAGCATTGAAAAGCAAAGACATTATTTTTGGCATTCCTAAGAGTGTTTCTATTTCCCCAGTCTTAACTTTGAAATAGGTAGGTAGACAGACAGACAGACAGACAGATAGATTTTTTTTTCCTGCTGAGATGTCCTTATTTCTCACTCCATTAGGATAAGTGGTTATGGTGTCAAAACTTCACTGTTGTTCAACTGATGCCATGGGTTGCATCTGATTCAATGATGCTGGGTCTAAATTTCCAGCCTAACTGAGGTGAGATAATGTGAAAGTAGAGCTATAACATACTGTATATTTCAACTATAAAGGAGGATGAGAAGAGAACAGATTTATTCTAGTGTTTGTTATACACTTTGCCTCAATCTCTGCTCTTATAACAGAACTAGTAGACTAAATTTTATTTTTTGATGTAAGGGCAGCATTAATATGCAGGGTCTCTTAGCCATCCTTCCTCTCCCCAGATCCCAAGACTAAAGAGTGGCTCACTCAAAGCCTGGACCCAATCTTTGGCTATCCACAGTTTGTACGATTTAGCTGGAGCACAACTCAGATCATTCTGGAGAGTAAAGCTGTGCCTGTTCATTGGTAAGTGGATGAAAGAACTGTGAGATGGAGTGATGGATGAAGATTGTAATAGAGAGTTAAGGGGACCACAGAACTTACTATACACTGCTGCTCCCATGTACTGTGATGTGTCAAGAGTTCCATTCTCTTAGTTTAATTGTTGCAGAAGGAAATACACTTTCTCTAAGGCAGCAGTTGAGTTGGGGAGTTGGAGAGCAGGAAGTGCATGACATACTGGTACTGATTGGACACTGAATAAGTAGGGATGAGATGAATATGGATGCTAAAAGAGAGTAGGTGAAGAGTTTGGGTTTCTGTTTAAATGGTAGGGATGTGGAGGAGGGTTGTATTTGATCTGAATGGGTCAGCTTACTGTCTGTGGAATTTATTCCTCAAAGTGATTTATCAGCTGTGAGCAAGGGGATTCCTGTCTCCCTTCAAGGCAGGTTATTCTGCTTATTCCCTCATACCTTGTTCTCTGCAGGATAATATCCATAGATGGGGGCTGTCCAAAACACTGCAGATAGGAATTGCTGATCCCAAGGAATAATTAGGACTTCTTTCACTAGTTCTCACAACTCTTGAGAAAGCCATCAAGCAGCTCTCACATATAAATCCAGAGTGTGGTCAGTATTATTGCTATCTGCCATCTCAGAATGACCTTGGCAATAATGCAAGAAGGTACAGGAGCTGGAGATGCAGACAGTTTACTTTCTCCCTAGACAGATGTAGCAGCAACCCTGTACTATTTGGTTGAGGGAAAAAGGGCTAGATACTGAAGCACTTTTTAGTATCTAAGATCGTCCTAAGAACTAAGATGATTCTGAGAAACAGGGGTCAGCGGTTACAGAAAGAACCATTGAGTATGTTTCTCAAAGAAAGTAACACAGAAGAGCATGACAGTAAAACAGGCATTTGCTACACCGGAGTCTTTCATTTCTCCTATCTTTGCTTCCTTCTTCAGGGATGATACTGAAGATGACCCATCCCAGCACAGTGCAAAGTCCTTACTGAGCTACTTTGCCCGGAAAGTTACCCCCTCCAAGCGTACACCCCATCGCTTCTTTAATGAACGCAAACTTGAGACAGTGACCAGCCTGTAGAGGGTGGCAGGTGGTTTCTTCTTGCTGAAAACCATCTTACTTTGGCTTCACAGGAAACTTTCCTGATGTGACATCTAGTTTTGAATTGGCAGTCACAAATCCTTTGTCCTAGCCACAAAGCAGTGTGAAACCCAAAGGTTCAACTGAAAGGTACAAACTTTAACAGAGAAAGTGTCTGGTCAATTTTCTTCCTGGACGCCCTCCTGCTTTTGTGATTGATTCCTTTTTAATTAATAAATTAACAAAAAACAGTAGTTAGACTTCTTGTTTAATGTAAATTAATAGGTGGTGGTGCCTAATGAAAGCTGATCTAAAGGGACTGCGATGCATGAATGCCAGGAAAAGCTGCAAGTGAAAGATCACACCTTTCTTGAATGACCTATCTTAGACAGTGAGTAAGGCAAAGACTCCCTGTCTTCTGCCTGAAAGAGAAAATGATTGGTCCACTCCAACTGCTGTCATTCTGAACCTCAGCATAGTATCGGATCAGTTTTGTGCTGCTGATCTAGAAGTGAATTTAGTTTGTCCTGTTATATATTTGAGGCTGGGCTACTTAATGAAATTAATGAAATTTCACTTCTACTTAAGGTAGAAATAAAATCAATACCAGGAAAGCCTTCTTAGATAAGAATTTTTTGTTGTTTCATGTTTTTTTGCCCAGTCTTAGTGGTATCCTTGAACTGAAGATGGGCCACTGTTTCTTAATTCCTCTTGGAAAGGTCAAGGGCTGAAACAGCTATTTGTGTTCAGGAAACTGAAGTGAAAGTCCCTGTCTGAAATTTAGATTAGTTATAAACTGATTTTCTGGCCTTTCAACTTCTGCCTCCAGGCATCATATTTATCCCCGTTCCAGAGTTGTTACAGAAGAAACAAAGGAAACACCATCTAAATGCTAAGTGCTGTTATTGCTGTTGCTTGACAGTGATATGACCCTGCCTCTGTGTGGAGGAGAGTCAACTTTTTGCTTATAGTTGGCCTTTATTTTTAATAATGTATTATTTCTCTGGCACAGCTACTCCTTTGATGTATATGATCCCATTTTATGTTCCAAGTTTGCACATGCTTTTCTACTTCAGTTCCTCATCTCCTTTTTCCTGTCTGCAAGCCTGACATGTTTCTTTCTGTTTGTAAGACCCCCACCTTTGCTCAAGCTACTTTCATTTCTCTTCAAGAGCTTCCAAGATCTGCTTCTCTACCAAGCCTCTTTTGAAGTAGGTGAATATTAGTGTACTTGCTTTTGAATATCCATCCTCCCTTCTCATCTGTCTAAATGAATTTCCAGGCTTTCCATCTCCCTTCCCTTTGCGCAGAGGCTAAGTCATTTTTGTGGTATCACTCCTTGGCAGTGATAGAACATGACCTGTTCAGTAGGACATAACAATCCTATTTCAGGCTTACATAATCCAATCCTGAAAGGTTAGTGTAGTCCATAAATAGATAGTTTGTGGTCCTTCAGATGCTGTTGAACTCTAATTCCCAGCAGCTCCAGGTAACATTGATAATGATGAGATACACTGGGAGTTGTAATTCAGCAACATCTGGATGGCCTCTGGTTTCTAATTGTTATCAAGTGGAATAGTGGGAGAAAGACCATTATTTACATAAAGACCCTGTGTGTCATTTCAAAAAATAATGTTTTTACTACAATGCCAACTGCCCAAATGGCAGTATGCCTTCATGCATTGTGTGACCACAGCCACCGTATTTTGTAAACTGGTTTATGATGTGTGAATCATCAGAAAGGAGTATTTTGAACTATGAATAGAAATTTACCTCATTTCTGTTTAATTTGCCATTGGCCATACTGTCATTACACACTTAGCCCAGTTGGCTGTTTCCCTGGTCAGATCTTATCTGTGGTTCCAGTAGTACGTACACCTTTTTGGGAATGTAGAATATACAATTTCTCCAGAAATGCCTGGTATCCCATAAGCCTTTGCACCAGGAGAGTATTGGCAAAGTTTCATGATATTACCACTCCTTTTTTATCTAGTGTATGATCAATTGGACAGAGATTCTTCTCAGAGCTGCACACTTGCATTCTTGCTAGTGAATAATCACTAAGATCCAGTCCTCTATACTGATTTCTTTACATATTCTCATAATACAACACAAACATGCACACTCCATTTTTTTAATTTCCCCACAATATTATTAGGTTTGAACCAATCCATAATGTGAAATTTGCAGTAAGCGTAGCCAAGGTAAACAAACAAGAGTGTGAAATGCAGCTGAATAAATAAGGATGGATAGATGAAAGGAAGTGGGTCTGTTTTGGGTGTACAATATTATAAAGGGGATTTGTATAGTGTTTAGAGTGGAGAAGATGAGTTGGTTGGGTGAAATTCAAGGAGCACTATGTAAAGATGTGATGGGCAAAAACATGCCAACACTTGGAGTCTCACTGCCACCACTGATTAGATGCTTTTCTGACTGGCATATATCTACATTGACCACTTCTGTTTGGATGCTATGTGTAACTTTTTCCTTGATATATGGATTGTTTACTATTAATGTTCTTTTGCACAACCTCTCTCTTCCCACCCCCCCTCAGATGGGGTTGCTTTGAAAAATAAATTCAATTCTGGGTGTAAGCCAGTTTAGTAACCTAGCAGTGATGGTCTCCTAATAACCGTTGCTTTCCAGCATATAATCGCAACAGTAAACGCTGCCATGCTGGTTTCTAATCTAACCTTATGGATAGTGCTCTTCCCTATTTTCCCCTTTTCATTTTATGCTCAGGAACATCCTTCCATTTTACATGAATCCTATTTACAATTGTATTTGAAACCATGGCAACAACTGAGGCTAACTTTTCCAGCATTGATTATTTCACTTCCCCCCTGCCTTGTTTGTTCTTTTCCCTTCAAATATTTTCCTTCAGCCAATGCCTATGAAGGTTGCTCTTGCCTTTTGCCTTCTATAATGATTCTTCCTTGGGCCAGCTCTTAGGACACAAAGAATATGGAGAGGGAAATGCTTACTGTTCTCTAGCGCCTTTTCTACTCTGAGCGTTCAAGGAAAACCTTGATTATAGGCAAGTTCCTAAGAGATGAGGTGCCATCATGGTCTAAACTCTACTGCTAGGGCATAGGGCTCAGAGCCCTGGAAGGTGCCAGATTCACAGCCTATGCCATGAGATGCACAGAGTTGTACAAGATGGCAGGAAGCTGGTAGTATGGGATGTAACCGAATTGCATAGATCACAAGCGATCCCCCCAAGCCCCAGGCAATCACTGGAGAGGGGGCTTTTTCTTCTGGAAGGAATGGCTACCTTGGATTAGAATCCACTTCCACTTCCCTCCATGTCTTCCACAAAAATAGAACGTTTCCGCAGATTCCTTTTCAGGCGCTGGAGCAAAAGGTTGCCTGTGCAAGGGCTCCCATGGCCTTTTCTTTCCTCGCCTTCCTTGTTGATGTCTGCCTCTTTCAGGCCGTTGCTCTCTTTGAGGTGAGAATAAGAGGCGGAGAAGACTGTGTCAGAGGCACCCAGCATCAGGCACTGGCAGGGGTCAGTGCTGACTGTGAAAGCATCATCCCAGATGTTCTCACACAGCTCCTTCCCATCCCTGTACATCTGAGAAAAGAAAGAGGCCCCATGTTACAAAAGACTTCTTCCTTCTAGGGTACTGGTCTAACCCCACTCAGGTGTGAAAGCCAACTGGAATGAATTCTGAAGGTTGGAAACCTAGGAGTGTGAAAAGTATGCAGTCTTCTCAAAAAATGCATGACATCAAGAACTTGAGCAGTCTAATATGGCTTGATTTCTAAACATGAGAGCCATTGTGACTTAACTTATTTCGGAAGTCATGCTCATGTCCCCACATGGTGATTATTCTATTCCTTGTTGTGTAGAATATAACTGATATTTCTGTGTGGGAATACTATGTCATACGAGTTAAAATTTTCCCACACAATTTTCCCACACAATTTGACTTCATTAGCACTGAAATCTTTGGACTGGTTTTTAATATAATGGATGCCTTTCAGGAAAACGCAGTTCCTGTTTTTCTCCCCACCTTCCACAATTACTCTTCTCAAGCATGCTTCAGTTTCGGAAGCCACAGCCTACGCATCATTTTCAGTACAAACCTGTACAAACATATACCATATGCTCCCTCACATAAACATGCTATGATCTCATCCAATGCATACAGTTTCACAAATCTTGGAATAAAAACATTTGTTTTAATTCTGAAGTTAGGTTTGATACATTTCTGAAACTAATGTACTCCATAGCTTAAGGATCTTGTACTTTTCACCCCCCCACCTCTGAAGGGGGAAACTATTAAGCTGAAGATTAATCACCGGAAGTGGCTTTAGTTAAATTGTGTGTATGTTTGCCCTTGCCCAATTCTTCCTTCGCTCTGGCTCTACCTACTTTATGGAATGTTATCTCCAATAACTGCTGAAAGTGGCCCTCGGCCAGAAAGGTACACCTACTTTTAGGCTACAGCAACAGAAGGGATTGTTCTGCTCAAGGTTAAGCAGCACCTTTAGTGTCCTCACCTGGCCATAAGAGTGACGTTCCTGACTGCAGTTATGTCTATCAGCTCCCCAGTGCCAGTTACCAGGGCAGGTCAGATCTTCTCTGCAAGCATTGTACCTGAGTGGACAATAAGTTTGGGAAATAAGAAAGACAGCTCATTGGCATTTGACTCAATGGTGACAGGCCCAAATTCACTCAATGGGATTTACGATTAACTCGAAATGTGAAGCTGAAACTCCCCAGAGTAGCCCCCATCCTTTTCAGTTCGGGAGAGGATCTCAGGTTTCTATATTCAACCAAAAAACCACCTACATCCTCTTTCACTTGCTAGGTTAATACTAGTTGGTGATAGCATTTCTGCCTTTCTCTGACCGCCCACCCCATTTATTTATTTTTTAAATTTTATCACATTGAGTAACAAAATAATAAAAGCAAGAATATGGGATTGTCCTCCAAACAACATTTGTATTCCCTTCCTACCCAAGTCAGACTTCCAAACCTAAATTGCCTTTTTTGCCTGATCTTGATTTTCCAGAATGGAATGCGTTATCTTGTCAGGAAAATACAACTTTTATAGATATATTTCCCCTAATAGCAGGGTTGAACTGGTAGAAAATAGGACACTAGTTCTCCAAACGTAAAGAAGCTTTGTCTTTTTAAGGATCAGGGAAACATATGACCTTCATACTTCACATTAAGCCATGGTTTATTACATCATGGTTTGTTGAATAAACCACAGCTGAAACAATTACATACAATACATTGAATCAAAACCAAATGAAGCACATAATGGCTTAAAGTGATGTAAGAGAAGTGCCTATGCCTTTCACTTTTAGAACTCCTAAAATCACATTGCAACAATATCAGGCTACTATATCTGGGTTGCAAAAATCTGGTTCTCTGGTAGATAGTAGCAAAGACATAATTTGCTGCCATCTAGTACTTGTCCAAATTTTTGCAGCCCAAACATGGTAGTCCAAAATAACACAATCTAAATAATGGCCTAAATACGTGTATCTCTTCAGAAAGATGGTCTCTTCTTCTCAGATCAGCAGGTAAAGGATCGTGGTCCTATTTAGACTAATGTGTGTCTGTATGCCTTCAGTTACAGAAAAGAAGATAGGGCCATTTGTTTAGTTTCTCTAGTGTCTCCAGCCTCCAAGAGGTATTGTACTTATTTCTTCCTCCCTTGCAGGATGGCCTCTTCTAGATGTGGAGGCATGATAACTTACCACTGGTCACAGAAACTCTGGCAAAGGGGCACAGCCAGCAGGGCTGTGGGTTGTTGAGGATGAGGCCATTGAGCAGCAGTGGGGGAGCAGTGGTAGAAACAATCCAGTTGCCGAAGGTACTCCTCACATCTGCGAAAAGGAACGAAACAACAGCAGGCATAAATATTGACCCTAGGATGCAGGGGAAAAACGTGAGCTGGGCAGCAGCTCCCCCCATCCTGGTGCTTAGTGGTCAGTAAGGCTGGCTGAGGAAAGGTCATGAGACAGGGCCCAGCTCCACAGCCCATAGGGAAGAAGGGCCCATGACTGACACTGGTGGGGCCCACTTCTTTGCAGAAGAGCAGGCTTGGGGCTGACCTGATGCTGAGGCTCCCACAATGATTCCAGGATCTGGCATTGGCTTTGGAAAGTTCCTGGGCAACTTCTGGTGAGCAACAGGCATCTGTAGGAAGACACCTTGTCAGCACCTCCCATTTCTTTGGAGTGAGAGGAACTGTTAGCCTTCTGGCAAACTATCCCTCCAGCAATTGCAGTCCAGATCCAGGAAGATGGATCCCAGATGAACACAGTAGTAACCAGGTTATAGAAATTCCCAGCAAGTCAACGGTTGTATTCTTTTTCTTTGACATATCTTGTTTACTTCTTAATTTTTTGATTGTAAGGCACCCAGAGTTGCTATGGAGTCAGGTGGTCTTGAAATTGAAATCATCCTCATAGTAATATTATGGATATTTTATATTCCTCCCTCATCCTACATCACCCTCATTTTCTCTCCCCACCATATAGTTCTACAAGCTTCTACGGAGGAGTAATACTTACTCTCTGCATAAATCTGGCAGACACCCAACTGTCCTTCTGGGCTTGGATTGGCTTTATGTTTCCCTCCAGGCAAGCAGTGATTTTCTATGTCCTTTGCACTGGCCCAATACATGATCAATGCCAAAGCCATCACCATGATCCAATTGGTGTGGCCACCACCTCTCATGACTAGAACATCAAGGGTAGAGGAAACAAGGAAAAACTGAATCAGTATGCATAGGATTGCTTCTCTGCTTTCAAGCATGTCAACCAGCCAATCAGGTTACAGGAGACAGACCCCCACCCCCCAGATATATCTTCCCCCTGTACATCCCTGGATATATCATACTTCCATCTCTGCCCAACAGTTCCCTGAATCTTCTTTCTTTCTTGATAAGCTGCTAAGAGGCTGCAATTACATTCTTCCCATTGTTCACTGTTTGACATCTGCAGCTGTCCACTAGGTAATTCAAGGCAGCCAACTGCAGGCAATTCTACAGCACCCAGATTAGGGCTAGCTGGCATGAGAAACACCAGCAGAGAGAGAAGATATTCTTAAGAAAACGTGTGAGACGATACCTCCATCTTCATGGAGAAATTTAGAAATGTTTAAGCAAGTTGCCCCTTTACGTAACGAAGCATGAGACTGGGGGGAGGATGCACTTCCAGGAGAGATTTATACTAGGTGGGTGAAGAGGAGAGGTTTGAAGTTTTCATAGGGGCTCAGCCTACACCAGTTTGGAGGTGGAAATCGCCATGCTGTGGAAAGTGCCAATTGCTTTATGACTTGACATAAAAATCACTGTTGAAGAGCTTAACTAAATGGGATGTCACAAGCAATGGGTGGAGAGGTGTCCCAGTTATAAACATGCCCCTGATCCAGAATGCAGTCTGGCTGGCAATGGTATTTTCCTGAAATGAACACCCTCTTGGCTGCTGTTGGCTGTAAACCTCACCTTGAGGGACAGGTTCAATAACAGGGAGGGAGGGAGGGGACAATTTTCAGCAGAAAAACCCAGGGAAGTCTCTGATCCATCTGAGGAATACAGTCTCAATATGAGAGTGTTGAAAACTTGGGCACTTGAGACCACACCTGACATCTCTTCCATTTCTACTTTTCCTGCTGCTTTGGATTGAAAAGTTCTCATTCAGATATTTAGCAATCATTCTTCTTCCTCCTCAGGCAATGAAAAACAAAACAAAACACAGATGAAGAACAGATTCTAAGGGTCAGTCAGAAAGCCTGGTGCTGACTGGGAGTATCAATGCATCAGCACTGCTCAGCCAGCCAGCCAGCCAGCC